CTTTCCCTGCATCTTTTAGAATCTCTAATCGTTGTTGCATATGTCGATTCCGATATTAATAAATCTGGTCTACATTTATCTATCCATGCGGCACCTAAATGCCGATCTGGCGTCATATTATAGTCTCCTGTGTACACGATAGACTGCGATCCCACGCGAATCCAAAACATAGCCGCTCCGAGCACGTGTCCAGCATAGTACGCTTTTATTTCCAATTCCGGATCGACCATGACAGACTGATGAAGCGTGACAGCAACAACTTTCTTCATGCAGTCTTTTATCATCTGCGATGTAAAAAAATTGCTTTCACCTTTACGTTCGACCGCAACTTTTCTCATATCTTCCAACAAGATTGGCGCGATAGCCTTAGTCGGATGTGTCATGTAAATTGGTCCAGTATAGCCTACCTGCAGAGAGTAGACATAAATATTCAAAAGAACATCAAATAAAAGAAGCTTGCTTACAAAAGTTATTAAACGTTTAAATTGTATGATTACCATCTCCGTGAAATATGGAAGGGCACCACAATGATCCAAGTGAAAATGAGAGATAATGACGCAATCGATGTAATTGGTCGCGGGTCCCTCCGCGACTATGTAAGAAAAATCAGGAAAGCGTCTTTCATCGTTGAATCCCATGTGCATTCCACAGTCTAACATAATGTTTTTACCACCCATTGAGACAAGAATACAACTACGCCCTACATCCTGTCCAGCACCGAGTGGTGTAATTTTTATATCCGGCATTTCTCTGTAAAAATAAGTAGAAATATAATATACAATGGTATTACTTACATGAAAAATTGATTGCCAACCTCTTGTAAAGAGAAAATAAATATATCTATCACAATATATCACATATAATCTGCTATAAATATATACATCTTTTGTATTTTAGAAACTCGAAAAAAATTTGCTCTTAAAATAAATTAAATATGTATTATTTGCGCCAAAAACACATATTGACATCACAATATTATTTAGAGATATCAATAAATTGACTAATCCAGATCAATAATTTTTATCACTCTTTGAATTATAATCATTATTGTAAAATATAAATAAAAAAGATTAGACTATAAAGTTAATATATTGATGTAACAGTTGGTAAACATACATAAAAATAAAATATAAATATAATAAATTTGTTATACGGTTTTTTTAGAAAATATATCTTCTTTTTCTTTATATACAATATAGTCAAACATAGTAGTACATGCATATGCTTACTAATCATTGAATTCAATACATGTGCAATCCTAGAACTGATTAGAACGAAAACTTAAAAACATCAATCGAGAGAGAAATCTTTTAAGTGGTAGCATTATCTCTCTCTCTTTATCAATATAATAGAGTTCGATGAAATTTCTTTTCACATTTTACTCCATAGATCTAATACACATAAGATCTATATAAGGTATAAGATCTATGTTTTACTGTTTACTCCAATCCGAACCTTATTGTACTACTCCATTCCAGATTTTTATAGACATGTGATTGGTTGGTTTCCAATCGAGTAAACAGATCTTTATGCGCACTTCGCGATTATTTGTTTATTTCTTGCTTTCCAGCAAAAAATATACATAAATAATGTCACACGATTGGCTGTCAAATAGAAAAGTTTTCGAGACTTTAAAAATTCTCTATTTGATAGCCAATTGCGTGATATTATGGCTGCGTTCCGATATTCACTGCCAGTACTGAAAATCTATAGTTTACGTTACGTACACTATAGATTTTTTGTACTGACAGTGAATATCGGAACGCAACCTGTGTCTACCTGTGTTTTCTTGCTGGAAAGTTACCATACCATGGAAGTACATGTGTCAGGATCCTGTGATTGGATGAACACAGAATGATGCATCGAATAACGGACATGTATGTATGTACAGTGTTTATAGATGTCATGATGAAGGTTTTATTGGAATTTGTGACGCGGCGGTGACGAATGTGAAAGAGAGAGAAAAGGAAATAAACTGTGGAAGAAGAAAGTGAGAGAAGAAAATTCCGAGAGATCCTACGGCGGTCTCAGAAACAGCTGTACGTGCTTGTACGCTACTATGGCGAAACGTAACATACCCCGCCGATGAACGGAGCGTGCACGAGGTTTACACGCGCGTGCATACACGCGCTGCTTTACGTTATCCACAAGATCCTCGCGCGTTCGCGTTATTATATCGATCATATCCCGTGTGCGTGTTTATACTTCTCCCTCCTCTCTTAGTTGCCATGTTTAATCGCGAACGAGTAGGGTCTGATATACCACGTGACCACACAGTTTACAAACGGTCGTTGTGATAAACTGCTGAGAACTGAGAACGCGATACTAGTACAAGTGCATACGTAGCGCGCGCGCGCGTTATGCGTACGTAGAATTTACGTGCGGAAGAAAAAAAAAGAGGGATAGAGTACCGCGCACGACTTCCTCGAGACACTCGTGGTAAGACATCCCCTCGCAGAATCGTCAATCGCAGATCGTAATTGTCACTTTGCCATAAATCTTTAAAATATGGCGCCATAAATCAGCAAACTGTGCATAGAATTATACCCTTTTCGCAGAAATGTCGTGTTTCAGTCATCTAATTGATGATTGTCATTGAGAAAATTTTACGTTATGTTAAAAGAATGTTTTATGTTTTAAAGAAATATAGTTTAATTTTTTTTAAATCAAGTTAAATGTTTTAAGTTTGCATAAATGTAAATGAGCGAGATAAAATAGAATGCTTTCCTTCATAAAAATAGTAAAATAAGCGATTTCATATCAATTTGCGAATTTTTAAACTTGATTGCAATAGTATAATTTTGCAAAAACAGAATAGTTGATTAAATGTATAAAGTTGTTTTAAATTATCAAAAAATATTTTTTTATTAATATATAAAAGTAAATTATGATTTTTTGTTGCTTTGTGTTGAAGCTCCATTGTATTCCACTATATTTATATGCACATCCATAAGGAACATGGATAATGATATGATGGTTTTGTGGGATGTTATCTACATGGTTCAAGAATAAAAATATGAAGAATAGTGGCCAGAAAGAAGAGCCTGCAGATAAAAAAAAATATGTCTTCTTCTCGGATCCAGATGTTATTGCTAAACGTGCCGAAACTTCTGCCATCGTGAGTAATCCTTGTTACTTTTTTCCTCTTATGTGTATATATAAAATTCTATAAATAATTTATTTATTTCAGACAGCACAAATTACATTAGATTTAGAAGGACAACAGCAAACTATCAAAAATCAATTAGCCAATTTACAAGCTCCCACACTTGACATAAAGAACTTAGAAAAATTACTATCGTATCATCCTGTACAGCCATATCCTTTTCCATTTATTAGCGCAGTGAAACAAAAACTTGCTTTAGGAGATTGTATTAATGCCGGCTCAAAAACATACAATCCAAGTTCTCAAGCAAAAAACAGTTTGACTTCTTCAGTGTTAAAAGCAAATAGTACACAGAATTTGTGTCAAATTGTACAGAAAATGGATTATATTAAACCACTGAAAGTTCCAGATTTGAAAATTTCTCCAAAAACATTGGATTTCTCCAGTAGAGATAATTCTGTCTCAAAGGAACTGTCTTCAACAAAGTCTGAAATAATTGCAAAGGAATTTGCGCACGATAGATCTGACAGAACACTAAGAACTGGTGAAAAAGTACAAAGAAAATTAGACTTTTCCTTTTCAGATGGATCATCAATTATTAATTGTGAAAATATAGAGCCATTGAAAGCGCCAAATGTGTCCATAGCATCTAATTTATGTAAGAAGAAGGAACATGTTAGAGACAGCTCCAGGGAAAAGGAAAATAAATCTAAAAGGATGAAGAAAGACGATTCTTTGTGTGCAAAGAGAAATGAATCTGTGCAAGAACATACAAAACGCAGTCGAAGCCCAAGACACATTTCTAGAAAAGATGCAAGCAATATGGGCAACATAAAATTACAAAATGATAAATCATTTCATGCTACAAAAAATAATGATTTTTTGTTGATGAAATTAAAAGACAAAAATGTTTTAATTCCCACTGCTAAAAAAGATAATGATAAAAGACAAAAATTCTTTAATGCACAATCTGCGGAATTGAAAGATAATTCTGTAGACTCCAAAGGTCGAATATTGAGCAACGAACCGCTGATCATCCCGTCGGATAAAGTTACACTAAGAGACAATAACATTAATGTTTTATGTAACATTACTGAAACTAAATCTAAAGATATTTGCCATTTAAAGCAAAGATCTGAGATAGAAAACTCGAAATTAGATTCGGATACATCTGATCATACATCTGATTCAGATGATAGACAATTGAAGGAAGATAAATCAAATAGTATCTATAAGGAGCAAACAAAGAGAGTGTTTGATAAAAGTAAAATTTCGAGTAACAGAGAGAGAGTCGAGGGAAAACAACACAACCCTAATTCGGAGTTATCGGAGGATATCGGATCCATGTCTGAAACAAATAGTTTCAAGAATCGTGCTTATCAAGTAGCTGTAAATTCTACACAGCCATCAAAAAGTAAGGATCTCGAAACGGCTACGGAAATTAAACAGAACATTAATTATGTCAAATCGATTAAAACTTCCGAGGATTTTAAATATGCGGAACATTCTGAGACACAGCTCACAAGCACAAGTACTAAAAAGAACGAGGAATCGTATTCCCAGAGTGTCATTACAAATAAAGAAACAACGACTACTAATGATGATTCAAATAATGTAGATGTCAGTACATTGCCAGAAGTATTATTCGATGCTAGAAGAATCTCTTTTAGGGATGGCTATTCTCAACAAGAATTTCATGATTTAACTACGCCGGAAAAAATTAATCTTGTAAGAACAAAACGAAGAAGAAATTTGATACCGAGTAGTGATTCAGAAGTGGATGCGAGATGTCCAAAATATAAGTTAACAATAAAATCTGAGAAAGAGCAGGAGGAAGGACAATTGGTGATTATTAAATACATATTATTATGTATACATTCTTTTATATGTGTGTGTGTGTGTGTGTGTGTGTGTGTGTGTGTGTGTGGTGTGTACTTATATATATAATATGTACTTATATATATAAATATAAACTTTCATATATATACCATAATAATAACACATTTTTAATAAAGTAAAAATATATTGGAATTTTAGATGCATCCAAAGGCCTTACATAAGCAATTTCGAGCAGAATTGCAGCTTTACGATTCTTTCAATGAGTCTCTTAGGCAAGTCATAGATGTCGAAAAGTGTTTATATAATACTAAATGCGAGCAAGAACAAAAGAATTCACAAAAAGTAACTGAAAAAGATGAAAAATCGGAGAGAATCGTTGAAGATGGCTGTTTAATTGCTACAGTTGACAATAATACTGTTGAGAAAGGTAAAAAACTTATTTTTATTAGCGAAATTTAAGAATATAACTGGAGAATATACTAAATATCCGAAATATTTTTTATAATAGCAAAAAATTCGATTGATTATGCGAAAAAAAATGTCGCCGAAGTGTGGAGACCAAGCGACGAAGCACATTTTAACAGAAAATATTACGTTCTGACAAATCAAACTGACGTCGACGAATCGACGGGTATTAATTATGGAAATAAAGCGATGGTCAAAGTGGCGGAAGTACAAACTCAAACGGTGAATGATATAGCGACTCAAACGAACATATCCACAGACAAACAAAATGCGCAAAATAAATTATCGGAAATCATTGAAAAGATATACGAACAATCGTCTTCGGTGGAAAATGATATTCCCCAACAATCTTTAAATTCGATTGAGCAATTCGAGAATTTGGACCAAATAGAAAATATATCTATACCAAGCAGAATAAGGACCATGTCGGAGATTAGTTTACATGAAACTACCTCGTCGATAAAAACGGAAACTGGGACTGAAATTAGTATCTCAACTCGAGATGTAACGTTTTCGATTAATCAATATTTAGAGGTAATTATATAATATTTTATTATACTACAATTTTTAATATTATATATATATATTTAATGTTATATATATAGATATATATGTACACACATTTTTGTAACTATATACACATTAATTGAGCATTTAATTAATTAATTAATTAATTTCTTTTTTTCATTTTTAGATAGAACAGCTTATAAGAGATGAGAACCAACGATGCAATAAAATGGAGGAAATGTTAAAGTCTCGAGAAAAAACATTGAACGACAGAACTAAAAAATTAATACAGTTAGAAGAACAGAAACGTGTGTTAAGAGACACAGGGCAAGACAGTCGTTCCGTTAAAAAGAAACAAAGAGCTCTGATTTTAAAACTGCAACAAGAGGCAGAATATCTTTACAGGTAAGTGATATTTGTATAATTCTACATTGCATGTAAGTACTTTTGTATTAAAGTATATTGTTTATTAATAGGATAAAAAAGCATCAACAAGCAAGCCATGAACGAATGGATGTATTACGAAAGCAAAGAAATATGTTTAATCCGGAAATGTCGACGAGGAATATTCTAACGAAATTGAAGAGGAGTGCCGATAGCCAATCCCCGAGAAGATTATCGGGTCCTATGAAGGGTTACGATATACGCAGTAATAGTTCTAGGAGCTCTGTGATAGAGTCGGATAAATCTCATGATTGCTCTAATATAGAACCATGTTTACAAGGATCTGAAAGCGATGTACACTCGATCAAACTTGATTTGATCAAATCCGACGACTTGGCTAAAAGTAAGGAATTACGAGAAAAGGATCCGAAAATGTCACCGAAAAGAAGCGATATATCGATGCACGAGCTAAGGTCTCGAAAATATGAAGAAAAAATGCCCAAAGCGGATATTTTGCAGCAGAAGCAGAATCAACGCGACCGGATGGGATCGAAACGGATTCAAGATCATCATATGAACATAAAACGGCTCTTGGAAAATCAGAAATCATCGATTGGAATGTCGCAATTATCGAAATTAGAATTAATAAATACATCAGTACCTGATCATGTAAAATCCGAATCCGATACCTTAGTGGAAGAATTATCCAAGAAATCGAAAACGTCGCAAGCGGTAGATCTCTCCATGCAAACTGCGACCGTCGCAAAAGAAAAAGAATCAATTTCTAATATTATAACCGCTAACAATGAATCTATAGAGGAAGAGATAAACACGATAGCTCAAGATACTGTCTCCAAAACGACACAGTCGTCACAAATTTCTGAAGACATATTGCAGACAAATACTAGTAAGAGTTCTAAGAAAATTGATAAATCTGTCATGAGTGATAGAGATATATCCAAAAAGTCGCAATATAGTGATGAGTTAAATTCAAATTTCAAACACAAAAATTTTAAGTATCAAAAAATGAAATCATCTAGTATATTAACGGAAAATATGTTACAATCCAAATCAAGTTCTCATTTATCTGAAGAACTTACCAAACATCAGGATAAACGAACAAAACTTGAGCACGAATTGCTTCACTTAGATAACAATAATAAAAGTTCAATTTTAAGCGAGCTAGATTTGAATGAAAGCCAGGAATTGCTTCAAATACCTGTTAAGCATTCGAAACTTATGAAAAATAAAAACTTAAAATTGAGCGAAACGCCTAACGATTACGAGAGTAAGGAAAGCATGTTTAGTCAAATTTTTAACAGAAAACTCGAACGTGATAAGAGTTCTACTAGAAATGAACAAAATATGTCTACGTCTCAAATTAGCACTTTTGCCATTTCCCATCGCAGTTCTAAAGAAAGCGAGAAAAATTTATCAAAATCTATAGTTGTTAGATCGCAAGACAGACATTTAGAACAGTAAGTATAACACATAGCACATATGATTGTGTGCGAATTTTTATTTTTTTTCTCTTCCTTTTTTATTTTCTCTTAAACCATAAACATTCTGATATTTAACGCGAACAAAAGTGCACATACGAGAACATGTGTTCTGCGAAAGTTATATGTTGGGAAGTCTAATAATAAACTACGAATTTTTATTTTTTTTTCTCTTCCTTTTTTATTTTCTCTTACTTAAACCATAAACATTCTGATATTTAACGCGAATAAAAGTGCACATACGAGAACATGTGTTCTGCGAAAGTTATATGTTGGGAAGTCTAATAATAAACTATGCATTCGCGCCAGATCGAGTAAAGCATTGTAAAAATAGATTCTCTGCAGAGAAGCAGTTCGCAAGACGGACATGCACATGCATATTCTTAGAGTTATACATTTTTTCCTCTGTTCTTTCCAGAATTTTAATTGCGCGCGAAACTACACTCGCATCGCGTAAGAATTACATCAAGGATTTGATGGCGTGGCACGCGAGATTAAGAGCGGAAGAAGACCGTGTGACTCGTATGGAGCAGGCGGCGTTTAAACTTGTAGCAACTTATTCCAATGTCTTGAATCAGCAAGGTAACATGCAAAGCAATTCTATATAAAAGCTTCAGTGCTTAAAAAAAATTCAATTTTACGATAATTTAATAATATTGTGCTTGCTAATGAATTTAGAATTGAAATTTGTAAATGATAATCGCAATTCAAATTTTCAAATTTTAAGAAAAAAGGCCGTTTAGTACTGAAACTCTTTATGGATATTATAATTATCATGACAAATTCTTTTTTTGTTAAATATTTATTCAATAGTTTTTTTTGCATAATTTTAAATTTTGACCATAAATCTGAGTTCTTTTATAGATACAACTATCTCGTCCGATACAAGCGATGTCGAAGGGAGAATAGGACTTCTTACTGAAAAATTGGAGGAACGACGCATTGAAATGGCGCGTTTAAAAAGAGAAGCTAAGAAGCAAACAAAGAAACAACTACGTGCTTTGGAAACAAATCTATTGAATCAAATTAAAGTAAGTGTATATTAGATGTAGTTATCTAATTATATTTCTAATAAATCCTCAATTTTCTTTAATAGAAGACCGACATGACTATCCACGAAATGCGCAAAAAATTGGAAACGAAAAAACCTATGAAAGAAACCGACAAATTAGCTATAGAACCAAAGTCATTGGCTGAATTCAAAGTACCTGAAATACCGCTGAAAAGAATACAAAACATTTATAAGAGTAGCGATTTATTGAGATCTAAATCGGAATCTGATCTTCTACTAACAAGAAATCAGCTAAAAGATCCATTGAAGATTACAACTCCTATAACCTATGATGATAAACATGAAAAAAATAGTTCTAAAAAATCTAAATACACAGACACCAAGAGCACAAACATTTCAGAATTAAAGGACACTAATCAAACCGTGTCCGACGAATATACATCGATAGAAGTTTATGATAAAATTCGAACAGCTTCGGAGTTACTAACTGCAAATGATGCACATTTGGAAAAATACATTCTTTCTGCGGAAACTCAAATCGAAGAAGAAGAATCCGTTACTGCCAAGACAAAACAAAATAGCATATCCGATAATGTAGATGTTGAAACGAATCTTGATACAGTAAGATCGGAATCGGAAGTGCAAACATTATCGGATGCAAGATCTGTAGATCATAGTACCATTAACACCGAATCGACAAATAATAGACTAATGATTAATGTCGATCGATCTCAACCAAAGACGAATCTACGATCCGAGATTCGGAAAATAAGAAATGACAATATAAAATCTATTCCAAGTAAATCTGACTACTCCACGGAAAGTGCTGCGCATACAGTCGCTGATTCCGATATACTTACTTATTCGAGGAAATTGGACTTTTTACAGTTAAATAATAAGAATCTGAGCGAAGATATAAGTGCTATCGAAAACGATATTAAAGTATTTTCGGAAATAATGTCGCGCTTGAATAACGAATCGAATGAGAAATCTAAAGTAGATAACGATGAAAGAAATACATCACAAGATATATCAGAGATAATATCTAAATCAGTTTTTAGTGACAAAATCGCTAATACTGCAAATGAGGCGAAGCATACGATATCGGGGAAAATTAATACCGACTCTCTTTCTATTTCAGCAACTAATGGAAAATCAAAATCTCCAAATGATTTGAGTCACGATAATTATAAATCGGACGAAATAAATAGTGAAATATCGGCGATAATTTCGGAAGAAGTTCATCTCTCCGATTTAGCTCGTGAAATTGATTACGAAGCTAAAAGCAAAGAGATTATGAGTGAAATAGAAAAATCGATAATATCAGAACACATTAAAATGGTACGCGATGATTATAACGCTGCAACTTCGATATTAGAAAATGAAGACAAAGGATTATTGAATGATTTAGTTTCGGAGCCTGAGGTAAAATCGATTTCCGAAATTTTTTCCAAAATGTCGGATAGCAGAAAAAATCTCGATCGTACAAAGAGTATGGCAATGCAAATTATCGATGACTCGAGAAGGCATATAAGTGAACGAAGCGTTAATTTAAATGAAGAAAATTTGGAAAAAGATTTTGTAAAAAGTCAAGCGAAAGAAACATATTCATTGAAATTTTCCGAATGTTCTCATTCTCCCATCATTGCGGGTCACCGTTCGAAGGAAAATTGCGAAACACAAAGCGATTTGCGAAGCACATGTAGCGCAGTTTCAAGTCGAGCCTTGCGTGTTGTTGCCGGCGAAGATTCAAAATCGTCGGATAATATTCCCGAGGCATTGGAAGCAGAGAGAGAAACTAGTACTGATGATATGAGAATATTAAAGAACCTCGATGAAGATGTTGAAACAAGTGCATTGCTCGACCATACCAAACATTCAACAGCATTTGCATCTAACGCTGATCAAAATCAATCGCATGCAATTCGCACAGAAAATATTTCTCAGGATAGAGACAATTGGACAACTTCTGATTCGTTCCAAATTCCACAAGATGAAATTAGTACTGGAGAACGAGATGAGAATTCGAGCTCACATGTGGATCATACAGACGATACTTCAAATAATTTCTCGAAGAAAAACTTATCACATTACGTTGACAACGCAACGAATGCAGAAGCTGAAATTAATTTGGCAAATAACGTTAATGTGTCGACGTGTATTCCAAAGGGAGAATCTACTAAAGTCGAGGTGCACGACGTTACTTACAATAATGTATTAACGGAATCTCATATGATGAAAAGTAACGATGAACTTGATGATATACTAGATATAATCGCTAGAGAAAACAATCGAGAAAAAAATATTCCTAATAAAGAAAATGAAAAGCTTGATAACGTAATCTCAGATTCCATGGCCGAATTATTAGAAAAAGTTAAGGATATTGTGGAAGATGAGGGAGATAGCGTAGATAATCGTTTTAAAGAAATCTTATGCGATATGAATATCGATGTAAATGATGAAACTGAAGCAGTCTCGGATCTCTCATCGTTGAATAACAAAGCGCAAAATAAGACGAATGTAGAAAATATAAGCGAAAGTAACGTAGACTTTCCAAGTATATATAACGATAGTAAACCTAATAATCGCGAAAAAGTGATAGATATTTCGTTACAAGCGGTCGATGAAACCGATGACAAATCCGCCGTAACGGTAGATTTGCACGTAGAAATTAACGAAGAGAGTCCAGAAAGCGAAGCGATACCAGAAATACAAGAAATTATAATAACAGAATTGGATTCAGATAGCGTGGAAGATAATGTTTTATCGGAACTTGAAATCGATGCTAAAGTTGAATTGGCTGAAGAAGAAGAATCTGCCGCAAGCTGCGTAAACGAAGACGATAAACGGTACGCTGTGAAAGAAAAGAAAGATATTATAGAAATAAAAGAATGTTTAGAACCAATTTTGGAACAAGATAGTTCGGATGGCGAACAATTAGATAATTTGGTAGAAGTTGCTGAAGGCGCATTGGATACTGTAGAAAAAATCATTGCGTCGCCGCGTGACTTTCCCATATCGCTAATAAGTGATGCAGTCTCTGAAAATGAAGGAACTAAAGAAAAAACAAATAATACAGCTGAAAAGATTGACGAAATCATAACAATACCGGATGCACCAATAAACGAAAATCTCAACAAAACTTTTGACATATTAAAAGATCCGGAATACGAAGATATTTCCGAGGAGAGTCTCGAGGTGTCTGAAATTTTAGACAAAAATGACTTTCCGAAAGCAGGCATCGTGAAGAAATCTTCCAACTTGCCGGATAAGTATCAAGCTACGCAGAAATCGGAAGAAGTATTGAGAATACTGGACGAAATTTCGCAAAGATCATCATCCGATTCTATAAGCAATTTGCAAAGGAACGATAAAAGTGCTGCACAGAGTGAAACGCAAGAAGAGATCAGTGAGTTACTCGGTGCAGAAGTTTCCGCGAAAGATGAAAGTTTGTCTCCCGAGATGAGTAAGATGACGAGAAGCAAAATCGAAGAGAAATCTTACAAAGTGGACGATGAATCGAGAAATCGGTTCCTGAAAGGAGTAGAATTACAAGATGAACGATCGTTAGCAGAGACTACTAGCAATATGGGCTTGCCCGAAAAAGATGCGACTCTATTAAGATTAGACACGGAGGACGATAACAAGTCTACTCGGATAATATACGAGCTGCAGGAAAGAGTTTCGCAGCTGCAAGAACAGGATGGTTCATCCGGTGAATCCAGCGAAGCCGGCGATACTCCAAGAGGTGTTTCCGATATTGAAATGGACTCACCGAGAGACTTCAACGATTCCAGATTGGACATTGATATCCTGGACGACGATTTATTGAGCGGTACTAAATCAATGACAAATCAGAACGGCGACGTAAAAACCAATTTTCACGCGGCGTCTATCGTCACCACATCCGAGAACGACATCACGGCCATGATTGATAAATTAAAAGGTATTCTTATTATGCTGTTATTTTATAAATATATATATTTCTATTTATTATATGAAATTAAAAACATATATAGTAAACGATATAGAGTTAACCGACTGTAAATTTTTTACCATAAGAGTTTTATATAAGTCTCATGTATATGAATCAGTATTAATCCTATAATCAATCGTCTGTCTGATTGTACATATTCTCCAAACTTGAAACGCGTTATGTGCTAATGTCATAAAAATTACCATATTATCCGACATGACCCAATCAATGTTTTGTTATCGAGTAGATGTTTAAGCATGCGAAATAATCTAATCAAGAGATCGTACATGTTGCAAGACAATAATCTTTGAAAGATGCTATTCGAGCGAGTAAACTGCAAGAATCGAATAACATTTCAAGCGAAAATCAACGTATATATACTTATGTTGGAAGATAGTGGATTTGTTTTCTCTTTTTACAAATTACTGTTGTACACATTTTCGACTAAAATCATGCAATGCAATTATTTTATGTGGGCTGACCATCATCAGAGAGACATTCTCGATATATATATTTATACCTATCTCGATTTGTACACATTACATACTATATACAAAAACACATTTTGTGATTTTTTTTTCTTTCTTTTTATAATGGCTGTGTGCTCTCCTGTGCAAAAGCGTTGCCTGGTATAGCCATGTGTTGTTTATTTTCAGACAAATAGCAAAGTCGAGATTATATTTATCTAAAGGTAATACACGAAACTACGAATGATACGAACATTGACTTGTTATTATCTCAATGTACAATGTCGATGTCGCATGAAATGCTTGATATTTTAATTATTATTAATCTGTATGCGCGCACACACACACACAAGAAAAGCCTGTAAATATTTTGTACATCATCACAACACAATTCAGTTCATTAACTATTTATCTATCTTTCTCTTCTCTCTGAATCTCTCCATCAGAAAAGATCGTGTACAGATATTATATGATATGTCCAATACCCTGTCACAGCTTTGTACGTGCATTGAAAACATTTGTTTCTCGATATACTGAACGTTTCCTTTTTTTTTTTCTTTTTTTTTGCCTTTTCTGTCCCTTGCAACCTTCTTTCCCTTTTTTGGAGTACTCAACTCGAGTACAAATTTTTAATCCCCGATGTAATGTAAAGGCTCTCTCGTGTTGCTTTTCCCGAGGAACTTGTCTCTCGGCCTGTGTCTAAAATATTTGATTGATATAAATATATATATATATATATTTTTTGCTCTATTCCGTACAGCTTCACTGGAACAACCCGGTCTGGAGGTCGCCGAACTGGAAGCCAAGTTGCTTCGCATCGAACAATTACAGATCGAATTGGAGGTTTGTATCTTTTATACTATTAAAATGAAATCTATACTCTCTCTTTTATAATAAAATCGTTCTTATCATGAACAAATAGATTAAATTACGCATACGTATTATTTTTATAAGATCAAGAAATTAGAAGCTGAGGAAGTGTCTTTCTACGTTCGAGAAATACCAAATAAACCGCCGCCACCCTATACCCCACCTGGAGACAGCCGATTATCTGCCTCGTTAGGTTCACCCTCGACAGTCACAGCTGTAATTCCATCCAACGTTGAGGAACTAACGTCGTTCACCGACAAAGCCACAACTTTAATATACAATGCTAAACTGGCCGGCGAGGACATTGCGAATCTGGAAGCGCCTGTCGAGATTTACGATTCGATCAAGGACAAAACGAGCGAGAACAGGGACAGACGGATATACAATACCTTCCTCTTCGATCTTTGTAAGGAGACCATCGTAGAAGTCTTTCGAGCGGAGTACGAAAAGCCTGGCCCGAGCTGGACGAAACCGAACGTGAAAACGAAGCCCGCGATAAAGATCCCAAAGACTGTGGAGGAGCTCATAGAGTACGTTAATAAAGAAGTTGCCACGCTGTTTGGTTTCAAGACAAAACTACAACGGGAGAACATGGTGATGCGTTGGAGTAGGAAACGTAGGGACCGTGTCGACGAGTTGCTGGCGAGAGAAGCTCAAGCCGAGGAGGACGAATGGACAAAGTTTCATCATGACGAACTGGTGGTGAAAAACGGACTCACAGTAGCTATACTGGATACCCTCGTGATGGAAACGGCAAACGTAGTAAAAATAGCGTACGGTAAAAAAAGGAGACTAATGGTGTAGTAATCATAATCTTTGCACCAAATAGATATATTTATCATATTTTGCAATATGATAGTAAAACGAAGACAAAAAGTGTATAAAGTATTCTCATGTTTTTTTTCCTCAGGACTGCGTTTCCCACGTTACATTCTCACACTTTTATTCATTAATAGTATTTTATAACGTGTAACATATAGGCTGGTTCCTATTTATTTGTTGACTATACAATTTGTTGCTTTTTTTCCTTTTTACTGAGCTGATACGTATGAACGTTACAGTAAATACAAAAAAACAAATTGCATAAGTGAGATAATGAGATAATAAGAAATATGTGAATGACAGAAAGATAAGATAATAATACTAGCCATTAATATATTCTATCCACACAATTCGATAATCAAATGCCCTAGGTCAGTTTTTAAAAACTTTATCTCTTGTTAACACAGCGAGTTTGAGTGAGTGTCTAGCGTTTAATGATAATTATATGTACGTACGGGCTATCATAAAACAATTGATGCGCACGTAAGAAGTGATATACTTTCTGTTTCTATTTGAAAATGACAAGTATTCATTACTGAATATAATTGTAGAGCATTTTGTTCGATTTATTTCGCATTGATAGCATTTTGTATTGATAGCAGAAGTACGATCTTCTATTCTGTAAGTTTTACATTTTACCATTTTCACTGTAGTTTTAATCGAAATTGTACAATATAATTACGCATTGCGCACATCACTGCGCAACAATTTATGCTCTCGTTGCACTATAATTGAACGAAATGCTCCCTCGATTGCTGTGTATGTAAAACATATTTTAGCGAAACATATAATATAAGTATATAGAAAATTTCGCAATAAGTCACAAGTTGGGGACAACGGTCATATGTGCTCAATTACTTGTAATGAAATTTAAAAAATTCAAACGGAAAGACTGACATTTTGGGGCCATTTTGATCGAAATTATAAACCGTTAAATGAAATACACATAGATCGAGATTGTAGTAGATATCGGCTATACAGGGTGAAGCGCATAAACGTTTTATCTCTGAGAACATATTTCCCTTTCTCTCTTTTTTTCTTGTCTCATTACTCTTAAATATTTTAAATTATGATGTTTTATATGTGTTTCTCTCTTACATATTAGTTTTTGTATTAAACGAATTCGAGAGAGATTAATTCTTTAAATGAAACACACAGATATATATAGCCCCTACAATCGTGTAGAATATACGATCGAATCCTATATAACATATTAGATTTATTATCGACACAAACTACCTGTAATTTCATTTATTGATGGACTGATAATCGATCGATATATATTTTAGTTTGCGTGTCGCGTAACGGTCGATGCGATTCCGTTGCACTTAGTTTTATGTTTATGGTTGTGATGTAAATGTAAGGCTTGCGAGAATGTGCGATGGTAACGTACATTCAAACATTGTAGTGCGCGAATGCAGCTTTCATAATTTTTCATTCAGTGTCATCGTCTTGAATGTGCGCTACCTCTAAGTTCTTGTACGCTTTAAAGATGTAAATATTGCAGCGCTCAAGTGCTCATTGTCCAGCGTTGTTCCTATATGCACATGGGTAACATCGCTCTTTTAATTAATTTTAATTGTAATTTTTATTAAAATTCTCATACGCGAACCGCCCTGAAGAGCCTTCTTTCGTTTGCAGGGTACTCTTCTTAGTGTTATTCACAATCCTCTTTACATTAGCCGTTCTCGGCCGTGTCTGTAGTTGTTACAGAGATTGTTCACGTATGTAGTGTTGAATATGTACTTAACTAAGGTATAATATATTTTATAATAAACTTTTTCGGAAAAGAGAGAATATTTTTAATGATCTATCATATGTAAAAAATAAATAAGAAAAACTAATATATTAAGAATACATACACCTAATAAAATTATCATTCACACAATTATAATAATTTAATTATAAAGTAATTAAATTTTATATCTTATGAAACATTTCTTTTAAAATTTATATAATTTTAATTATTTGTATAATGCGCAGAATTAAATAAAATTTAAAATGATTAGGTTACATAGAATGTCTCTGATGATACAACCGAAAAGATAATTTTGATAATTTTTCATGAAAAAAATTCATGAACTAAAAATGTAGACTAAAGTTCTTTCGTGTAAAAAATAGTTCAAAAATAGTTTTTAAAGAAAATAATGTTGAAAACTGAGAAAGATTCATATATACAGGGTGTCCGGTAAAGATTGTGCCAATGCTCGTGAGCGGCTAGAGCACAGTAAACTGAACAGAAAAGTCCTGTAACATTTTTTTATATAACGCTTAATAAAGGAGTTATTATTGAGTAAA